ACATAGCATATCATAAACATATCGAACCACAAACAATTCACACATATCAATATATATGACACGTGCAGAACTACGGGGCACGTGTCAACATCAAGTATATTCATGCTGATAATAAGGTCACTTACCTGGTTAGCTTAAGTCGTTGTCACGAATATATCCTTAATGAAAGTTTGATTCCGTCTTTTGAAATCCAAGTCAACCTATGTGAGCCCATGACATCAGTTTCAAACTTGAACTCTGTAAAATTATTTCTCTAATTTACCTTAGTCAATTGTTAAAAGTTTTGAAATGTTATGTATATAGATAGAATGTTATTTTCACTATATCTTATTTTCTATTATTACTAAGGCAAGGAAGATATTATTAGTGGACAAAATTTAATGGAGTTTTTGTCCTCTGATATTTGCGATTTTATTTTTAAATTATGTTCCTCACTTTTGATTGTGTAAATAGATTTTTATTCTTAAACACATATATTACTTCTTATTTATTTTCTAAACAGATATTATTAGCCAAGTTTAATTTATTGTTTGCCTATGATCTTAGAGATTTATAGAGCTGCCAACAAAAAAAAATCTAATTAATTGGATACAAGAAGAAAATGAGATTTGATTATTACATGATCGAGTAAAATATTCGATAAAGAAGGAGATCTAATCCTAAATTAATTTCTTATAACCATAACTATAGAAGAAAAAGAGATCTAGATAGAATTTACCTAATACCAAAATCTCTCTCCAATAAATCTGATCATAATTGAGTCTTTTGAAAGACATTTTACTTTCTCTTAAATCTGACATTAGGTTTATTTTTTGACCAACGGTGATATTATGCCATGGTTAAGGAGGGAGGATGGGGTTGGGATAAGAGGATAGTGGAGAGAGGTGGATAGTTTTTTTTAAGTAATCTTTTTTTAGTTATTTATTTATTGATTATTATTATAGTTCTTATTATTTTTACGTGTATATATATATATATATATATATATTTTATATAATTTTTATTTATTTTTGGCTATTACATTATATACGTGTAAAAGAAACTTTCGTTTCCGAAAGTGTTTTAATCTTGGAATAACTCGGGTCCTTATTCTAAGAGTTCTTTGTTAAGTTTTGAAGTACCACAAAGTAAAAATTCTTAACAAGTATACCATAATCCATATGAGTTATAAACATTTATTTGCATGCATAAAACTTTCGTAAACCTGTCACTTGGTATTCATAGAAACTTTGATTTCGTATAAAGTGACTTATGAATAGTTACCTATTTTAAATTTGGATTTATACTCCAAAATTGTTTTCATTCCCTAAAATTTTTCATACTTACCTTTAATATCAATTCCATGCTCTTGTGTATCCTTTTACCACCAATCTTTGTCGGGTATTTGTCAACCTCTCCAAGCTCATTTAGCTTAGTTTTATAAATCCATTTTACCCCAATTTTCTTAGCACCTACAAGTAGAGCTACTAAGTGTCGGGTCTGATTTTTTCAGTGAATTTAATCTCCTCATTCATGGCAATCCTCCACTTTGAGTTTTTGACTACTTCCTCATACTTTATAGGATCTGAATTTGTAAAATATGTCATGTTAGCATCTTCTTCTTTGGACAAACCTTCACCAAAAACATAATCAGTTGACCATATAGGTAGGCATCGACTTTTGCCCTCCCTTATAGCCAAATCTGGTTCGATTTCAGCAGCAAGTGAATCTGCAGGTACAACAACAGGTTCAAGAGCAGCTTTAATTTCACCATCTGAGTTAATCGATGAAGTTGAACCTGTGTGTTGTTATGTGTCTTCTTCCGTTGCAGTTGAAATTTCAATGCTTTCTCCACCAATCTAAATCGGCTTCATTTTCAGAATTTTTCCAATCTCATTCACGATCCTCATAAAAAATTACATCGCGGCTAACTATGATTTTGCTTGCAATAGGAGCAAACATTTTGTACCCTTTGGATTCACCACTGATTCCAAATGAAACACAACTTACACTTTTATCTTCAATCCTTTTCCTCTAAGCATCTGGAATATGAACATATCCCACACATCCGAAAATTCGAAAATAGTCAACTGGGGGTTTTACTCTACTTCAAGCCTCTTCTTGTGTCACATCTTTTACTACAAGAGTTGGTGATCGATTTAAGACATGATTTACCCACATAATAGCTTCAGGCCAAAATCTCTTTGGTATTTTCTTTTTTGTTAAGACAACTCTTACTAGGTTATCACTGTACAACTTTTGGGTTCAGCTACTCTATTTTGTTGTGGAGTATAAGTTGATAAGGCAACCCTAATGCTCAGCCCAACGATCCAAGCTTTTGTTGAAGCAAGAACCCTTGAATCAAAGTAATTAACACCTCTTTATACGAAATTTGGATCAATAAAGAGATAAGGCTAGAATTAGATTACCTCTTACGATCGAAGATCTAGAAGTAAAATTTGGAAACCTTGTTCTAAATTGAGTCACTCAACAATCTAACTTGATCAAGGCTTGATTGAATGGCTCGGGTGCAATTCTACCACAAGAATTGCTTGAAACTTAGAAATGACAAATATGATGCTCGGATTTCTAAGGGAAACGTCTCAATTTGAGATCTGAATTACATTCATCCACGAATCTGAATTTTACATAACATATTGTGGGTATTTATAGTCTCCCGACAAAAGACGTTTGTGGAAGAGATTTATTCAAGACATTTGTGGACGGGATTTATTCCCGAGATCTGAATTACATTCATCCACGAATCTGAATTTTACATAACATATTGTGGGTATTTATAGTCTCCCGACAAAAGACGTTTGTGGACGAGATTTTGAATTTTACATAACATATTGTGGGTATTTATAGTCTCCCGACAAAAGACGTTTGTGGACGAGATTTATTCGAGACGTTTGTGGACGAGATTTATTCCCGATCCCCTTTAATCTCCACAAAGAATAAGTCAAATTGACCATTTGACTGTGGACGAGATTTATTCCCGATCCCCTTTAATCTCCACAAAGAATAAGTCAAATTGACCATTTGACTTTTACATAATTTATGAAATTAAACATAGTTCTTTCTAACAAATGTTGATGTGCTTGAGTAGCTAATGCGATAGGTTTGAAATTAATTGAGCTCTCCGCGCGTAGGTTTGAATTCTGTTGTTGACATATTTTATGGACATTTCAAATGGTAAAATGTTTCCGATTTTTCTGGAAGAAAATACATCCATCCATGCCTTCTTAGAAAAATCAGACCACACATGTGATTTGGACAATCCGAGTCTAAGAACCAGGCGTCACTTCTCTTTGATCCATAAAGTTCTACATAGGTCATCGGCAGCATCTTATCTTCTTCGTCAAGCTCAGCATAATTTGCTTCATTCTCAACTTTGGACATTCATACTGAAAATGTCCTAAGTTGTGACAATAACATTCAACAGTTGCTTTGTTGAAATTTATTCTCCCTCTTCCACCCTCTTCCTCTGTACGTTCCTCTCCCTCTGTTGTTTGTACTTGATCGACCTACAACATTTAGCACCTATTTTTCATCATTGTTGCTGGGGTGTCTAAATTTTTGTTCATGCACCACTAACAAACTTTGTAACTCATCAATGGACATAGTATCAGTATCTTTTGATTCTTCGATGGATACTACAACATATGTACATTTTTCAGTTAGGGTGCGTAGGATTTTTTCTACAATTTTCTTGTCTGACATTTCTTCTCCATTGCTTCTCATCTTATTAGCAACCTGCATCACTCTTGCAAAATACTTAGTGATGGTTTCATCCTTTCTCATCTTCAGAACCTCAAACTCTCTTCTTAATGCATTAAGAAGTGATTTCTTCACTCTTTGGTTTCCACCAAACTTTCTCTTCATTGAGTTCCAAACAATCTTGGATGTGCGACGGTCCAAATTTGTTCAAAGACAGTTCGATCAATCGCCTGGTACAGATAATGCTTTACCTGATGATCCTCGACTCTAGCATCGTCAAGATGTTCTTGTTGTGCAGCAGTCAATTCTGTCCCTCCTATTGGTTCCAAAAAACCATTCTCCACCAAACTCCATAAGCCTTTTGCTTTAAGCAAGTTCTCCATCAATTCACTCCAATGATCACAGTGACCATTGAAGTGAGGAACTTTCGTTAATGTTTTGTCATCACTCATTCTCTCAATGTTTAATCACTTGAAGATTGCTACTTCTTTCCAGCCGGCTCTGATACCAATTGATAAGTTTAGTGGCAGATTGTTAGAGTAGAGAACAACAATTAGATTTCAAGTGCGCTTTTATCAATTCTAAGCATGAAAATATATAGTCTTTTACAAAAAGATAGAAACCTCAAATAAATAACGTAAAGTCGTTGAACAGAAAAATATCTAGAAAAATAGTCCTAGAAGAATAGGACTCCATAAAGACTAAAACTTTATTTGAAACAAAAGTTGACTAGACTAGTAACACCTAACAGAAAGTAACTAAGAACGAGATAATGATAAAAAACTAGAACAAGAATCAAGATCAAAATTTTGAAGACAAGAACCAGAACTATAGTACTAAGACCCTTAAATCAGAACCAACGCTGAGACCTCATAATCCAAGGACCAAGGTCTTTAGGATAGATCATGATAAGAACTCACAAGTCAATAACAGAACCAAAAGGCTTAAGTACTTGCAATAAGAACAACATTAAGATAAGAAGTGTGGTACCCTAACATACCAAGGGCACGATTAAGAGCCTGAGTCTTTGTATTCGCTCCATGTTTTCTATGTTTTGTAGGTAAATAAGGAGCTGGTCGAGGTCGGGAGCGGACACTAGAGCAAATACCATAGACAAGCCTCATCCATCGTTCTCAACCCCTTTTGCTTTTAAATATTTTGTGTTTCCGTTCCTTATTTTGTGTTTTAACTATTATTTTGTAGTTTAACCGTCCCAACTCTACTTTAATATAATATAAATATTAAATATATTATATATTATGTTTTAAATTCTTAAATTTTCAATTTCCTTATTTTCAGGATTAAAAAAAAAAAAAACAAAAAACAAAAATCCCTTTGCATCTTCTTCGTCCTCCCTCTCTCTTCATTCCGTCGTAAATACAGACATCTTCCGTACAAATCAGGAGGTGTCTGACGCCGGCGCTCTCGTTGGGTGTTCTTATTCAACCATCCAATTCGATCCAAACCCCACTCCCTCTCCTTTTCCTATTTTCATTCCGATCCCGACCCATCGCGCTCTGTTCCTTTCTCTCTTTGCGTAGGGGCTCTAGATTTATTTGGGAGCTTTCAGAAAGGGTTAATTGCCAATTCGACGCGTTCAGTTTACGGATTCTGTACTTGCTCATTTCCATGCGCTTCATCGAATTTCTGAGTAATTGAAAGCATTAGCGCATAGTTTTCGCCTGGGGTTTTGATTTTTAACATGTCAGCAGCTTCGAGGGGTAGAGTTACCATTACACTCGGCCGTAGCGGACAGGTTGGTTGGCACCTTGTTTCACTGTTCTTCGATTCTCTTGTGGTTGGTAATGTTCATAGTTGACATATGTTGTTTCAGATTCTGCTGGGAATGATTTCTCTTAATACGTAATGAGCGTGATTCTCGTTTATTGCTTTGAATAGTGATCTGTATAAGCGTGAAGATAGGCGGAATGGAAATAAAATTTTGTTTCTAGTTTTTTCTAATTACTCTGTTAGTACTGATTGAATCTGGAAACGTTGTTGATAGTTGTTTTTCTGGCTATCTTTTGTATCTATTCATTCGTTTATCTATCACATTGAAGGTAGTTAAAAAGGCCAGCCCAGGGACCGATGTTTCAGTCTCTGATTCTTGGCCCGTGTCTGGAACTAAGCGGTCTGTAAGAGATAGGTTGGGAAGTAGCTCTGATAGTGATGGGTTATATGGAAGCCAACTCGCCAACAAACGGTATGTTGTTCTTTCCTTGCATTTTTTATCTGCTAGAACTTTGGTGTATTTTGAATGGATGCATGAAAAAGGGACGTTAATCGCTTTGGAAAAACAAAATGTTGTTTGCAAAATACTTGGTTGTTGGTCATTAACAGAAATGTTGGATAATTCATATGGCGTCCTCAGTTTTGGAGTCTAGATTTATTTCTTTTGGTTTTTTTTTTCTGTTTCTTTCTATTATCTCCAGTCTTTTTGCTCCTCTTCAGAATTTAATATCTTATTTATCTTCTTAGCAGATTACGAGGAGATGATGGTATGTCGAATTGGAGTTCTAATGGGTTGGACGGTATTGAACTTAATCAACATAATTTTATTGTCTCTCATGTTAATGGCATGCTAATGCACCCTTTATTTTCTTTTATGTTTAAAACCAGTGTCACACTCACACATTGGTAAAGATGACCTTCGGTATAAACTTTTGCAAAAAGATGCATTCAGGCGTGCTCAAAGTGATAATAAGAAGTGTTTAGATCTTCGGGAGAGGCTACCTAAGGCAGATCAAGCTCCTATACGCCACCTTGATTCACGGTATCATGATCCACCATTGCACAACACAAATATCTTACGTCGAACCCCTTCAATGAGAAGTGCAGATGATTTGCCTCAGAAGGACTCGTTAGGTAGTTCTTATTCCTCATGGACCATGGATAATTTGAGACAAAGATCACCTGCTAGAATTGTAGAACCATCGAGGCGCTACTCTCTACAAAGAGATGATGAGAAACTACAGAGAAGGACGACGGACTCTTCTGTCGAAAATGCAAGATCAGTGGGCTATGTAGCCAAAGATATTCACAAGGCTTCAGGTTCTGTTAGTACTGCAACTTTTATGACAAACTCTCTATTGCCTCCTACGTCTGCAAAGCCTGTGGCACCGGTTGTTCCATTACATCCTCCGCCAAGTGGCATTGCACACAAAACTCTCTATCCAGTACGGTTTACTTCTATTCTCTCTACCATTACTAAATTCTTTTGGCTTTTGGCTTTTGTCTTTTCTGTAATTTGATTTTCCCAACCTGATTTGAAGTAACTGCTGCCTGTTTTGATTGATTTGGCTAGTTGTGAACATTTTAATTACTGTAATTGTTGTGTACCATTATAGGCTGTTGATTTTTGAAGAAATTTTAGCACAACTTTGACAAATTATATTATTTAACTTATTATTGAACTTCTGAATTTTCTTTTGAGAAGCAAAATGAGGTTATAAGAATTAGTTTTCAGTATTTAAATGACTGTACATGTTTTTAAAACTTGAGGTGCATTAAAGTATCACAACCATTTGGTGCTCAAGTTTGAGGCGTCAAAAATAAATGCAGCCTTTTTGTGTGTGTGTGAGAGGCACACTAATGCGCTTCTGGGACTCCAATGTGGATTCCAACCCCCCCCTTCCGCTGTCAAATGCACTATATAACAAAATATATAATTAGGTGTGTATGTATACATAAAATTAAACATCCATGGAAATAAATGTTTGATAATAAAGAAAAGGATATAACAAAAGTTAAAGGTAAATAACGTTTAAACTTTCTGTTATTGATAGAAAGTTGGGGGTAGAAGAAGAAGAATGGTGGAGAAATAGTAGAGAAAGCAAGATTTGATGTTGGAATATGAAGATAAACCTAAATGCAAAGATTTTGCATTTAGGATTAGTAAATTTATGATTATTTTTTTTAACTAATAAAGAAGCCCTAAGGTGCAAGCCCGTTAAGCGTGCATGTGCACCTAATGCCTAGGCATGCTTCAAGGGACATTTAAAACACTGCCCGAGTATATTCTTTTGCTTTGAATAAAAGATCATTGTGTGTCATATTTCATGTGTATAAACTAGAACCAAATTGAAGCCTTCATCCTCCTCCTGCAGAAGCTCTCTCAAGAACCACTGTCCTTTCTGTTAAACTAGTTGACATGATTAATGCGTCATTAAATTAAGCTAGTTATGGAAAGTAGTTGCGTTTAATATGCCATGTACAGAGCACTGCTTGTATTATTATTTAGTTAGTAACATAGATGGTTGTAGGATTCAATTGTTGGACATTTTGAATGTTTACAGATGTTCAGGAAAAAGGTATATATAAATATATATATATGTGATTTCACATTTTTTCAATTAAAGTCTTGTTTCTTAAGAAAAAAAGGATAGAGTTAATAGCTTTATATGCATTGTGTGATGATGGACGAGGAAATTAGACTTCAGAAAGCTTAGGGAAAGATACTGACAAATCTAGCCCCTTGACAAGCTAGGACATGATTAGAGGTTTTTGTAACTAGTTAATATCTAAATAATCAAGTGAAATAAAAATTTCTGATAACTAACAGAGAAGAAAACTTGAAAAGTAACATTGTATAGAAATAGAACATGATGGAAAGGATTGAACAAATTATAGAATGGAGTTGATCTTCAACTATTGCTTCGTTAGAAGCACTGATTTGCTAAAAAATGCTTTTATCAGAGGAATACAAATTCTCGATCAAATTTGTGAGGAAGAATTAAAATATGGTTGCTTTTTAAGATTGATATTGGAAGGTTTTGGTTTTAAATGGAGAGTTTCGATTTGGTTAAATACTCTATCTTCATCAATAGTAAATTGAAAGGTAGGATTGAAACAAGGTATCCTTCCTATTCCTATTGGTTTTGGATGTTCTTAGTAGAATTAGTTTTAGAGGGGCGGAGGGTAACATTCTTGAGGGGTTTCAAGTGAGAAGGGATTGTTTGCTCTTGATCCACCTTTAGTTGCTGATGACATGATCTTCTTTTGTTTGGATAAGGAAGGGTCTTTTTTTAATCTACATTGCTTTCTGTCCTTTTTTGAGTCTATTATGGTTTGAAGATTAACGAAGTGTCAAGTGTCAGACATTAATTGTGATCCTTCGAAGATAGTTAGGTGGGCCACTCTAGTGGGTTGTGAGGTGGGTTCTTTTCCCTCCATGCATTCTTGGGTCTTCCCTTTGGCCCTTAGTAACAGTTCTAGAAGTTTGTCTTTCTGGGACCCAGTGATGAGGATTTAAAAATGCCTCTACTCTTAGGAGAGGAGCTTCTTCTTTAAGGGAGGTAGACTAACTATTTTACAATCAATTTGAGGGGAATCCTAGCTTACTTTCTCTCCTTGTTGAGGGTCTTTGTTTTGTTTAGCAAGAAGTTCAATATGTTAATGAAAGATTTTTTCGGGAAGGGGTTGATGAGGTTTAAAAAGGCCTTTACTCTCAGGAGATTGGCTTCTTCTCTAAGGGAGGTAGACTACCTCTTATACAACCAGTTTTGAGCGGAAACACAACTTTCTCTCCTTGTTTAAGGTTCTTGTTTCGGTTAGCAAGAAGTTAGAGATACTTATGAGAGAGTTTTTTTTGGGAAGAGGTTGATGAAGGAAAGGGATTTCCTGCTGTTGAGTGGGAAGTGGTGGCCAAGCTATTGGCTCTTGGGGGTTTAGGCATTGGTAATATGAGGACATGTAAGGAGGCTTTATTGGCCTAGTGCTTGTAGTCATTTGTTCGATAGACATATCGTGGCTCTTTGGTCTTGGATAGGGCATTTTTTGGTTTGATTGGGGAGAAGGGATTATGTTTTTGTTTTCATGTAGATTCTTTTTCTGCAGTTTGGTGGACCCTTCTTTACATTGTCTGTTTTTTTTTTACTTGCTGCAAAAGGTTGAAGTTCCAAGAAGGTCAAATTTTGTATGTGGCAAGTACTTAATGGTAGAACAAACACTTTGGACTGCATCATAAGAAAGTCGTCCTTTTTGATATGGCTATAGTGTTGTATCATTTGGAGGGGGCGGTAGAGGATCTTAGATTACCTTTTTTTGAGTTACCAATTCACTTTTTTGATTTGGAATTGTTTTCCTTTTTTTTTTTTTTTTTTTTTTTT